GCGATGATGGGCTCAAGTATAGCAGGGATTGTGGGGCTGGTGCGGGATCGGGCAGTGTTTCGTTCTGCTGTGCATGGGGTCGCTATGAGTCGGAAACAACTAGACGGCACTTAACAACAACAACAATAAAATTATTTTATTCATTTGTTTACTTGGTTATTTTAAAGATAAAATTTATATGTATAGAAACCTTGTCAGTCTTGTTCCTTGCATGTCCTGAGTATACACAGTAGATATTCAATAAATATTTGTTAAATGAGTGAATAAATATGAAATGTTCATGTCTCTAATATAAAGAGTGGTAACAAATCAATAGGAAAAAAAGAAAAAGTAAGAAAGAACATAACGAGAAATTCACACATATAAATAGCCAACATAAAAATTTTAAAGATGTATGAATCAAAATAACATGTATTTTGTCACATTATGTTCTTAAATACTTATTTAAGATCTTATGTTTTATGTAACAGAGCTAGACTAAAAATAATACATTCATACAAATACAGAATTTCTTATGTAGGGAAAATAAATAACCTTTGCAACTAAAGGATATGTACAAATATATTTCTTAATTATATGGTTGTATTTTATCTTAACTTGATTGCTAAATGATCATTATGCCATATGGATGGCAAATGCTTTGATGGACCTCTTTCATGTTTCTTTGTTTTAGGCACTGTGGCTATAGACTTGCAAGACACAAGCTGTAGATCAGCAAGTGGCCCAACCTTGTCCCTTCCTTCAGAGGGAGGCAAAGAAGTTAGAAGACCTAGCATTGCACCTGTTCTAGAGGTTGCAGATACATCATCAATTCAAACATGTGATCTTCTAAGTGATCAGTCAGAAGATGAAACTACACCAGATGAAGAAATATCCTCAAACTTAGAGTATGTTTAGATCTTCTAAGGTGTAATATTTGCTGGGTTTTGTGCTTGTCATGGTAAACTGATGTCCTTATTTTCTGAAATTCCAGAATCACTCCTCATACTTTTGTCAAAAAATCTTTCTTATAAGCCTTGACTAAAAAATGGTCAAAGTGCTCAAATTTCTGGCTTCAATATATAATCCTTGCTTCATTTTTCTCCAAATAATTCTTTATCCTTACAGAAAGAATGCACATCAGTTTTCCCAGGGTCTAAGCTACATTTTCATAATTGTTTGCTTTTCTTTTACTAGATTATACTTTCTGCTTTTGTTTTTTCCCACCTCTATATTGATGTTCAGTTTCATGATATGTAAATATACCCACCTCCAAAAAGTTTCCCTTCCTTACCTCAGCTTTTATCACAATCTTCTTTCATACATCAATAATGTTTTGAATGTATGAATAAATAAACATTATATCCCTTTTCGAAGCTTCTATAATGACATAGCGCCAATCTGCATATTGGACCTCAGGTAGTGCAGTGGTTAAGGCATCTGACTGCTAACCAATAGGTCAGTGGTTTTAACCCACAAGCAGATCCACAGGAGAAACAGAGGCAGTCTGCTTCTGTGAAGATTTACAGCCTTGGAAACACTATGGGCAGTTCTACTCTGTCGTATAGGGTAGTTATGAGTTGGAGTTGACTTGATGGCAGTAGGTATTGCTTTTTGTATTGCCCTTCCTTGAGGAAAGCAAAGTGATCAACAAGAACCCTGACTATGGTGTCTGAAAGACATAGGCCAGCTCTGCCATATACTTATTGTGTGCAAGTAGTTTTGATCAAATTATCTGGCCCACAATTTCTTTATTGGTAGACTGGATGTAATTACTACCTCATAGTGTTAATATGAAGGTTAATTATTATAGTGGTCCATGATTTATGCACAGTAAGCATTAAGTGAGTGTTAATTACTGCTGGTAATAGTAGTAGTGGTAGTGACAACAATAATATCATATCCTAACATTTCTTCCAACATCTTTCATATATTAAATGAACAATTAATGTTGAGTTGAGCTAAATTAAACTAAATTATCATTGATATTTGGAAAGATTTTTTTTTTTTTTAAATCTCACACATTTTTTCCCGTGTATTACAAGAATGTTTGATGTTCCCACAGCACACAATCCACTCTTCAAAATAATATTTTTCATCCTTGCTAGCATTATTAGATTTATAATGGTCTGAGTACTCAAATATATTTGTGGAATACAAGATGTAAACAGAAAGAAGTTCCAGGAGCCAGCATCTTTCTAGGAAACAATATTGTGGAAATGTGATTGATTTTTTTTTTAATGTGCACTTTTGAAAAAATTGATAAACCCAATTTTTTTCATTCTTGAAAATTTGAAAGAGATCTTCAGGTAATAAAGGATATTACCATCTTCTAAATTTACAAAATGTGCTATATTTTACATTCATATCTGTGATAACTGGAACATAGTTTCATACAGACCCGGAAATTTCTTGGTTTAAGAGGTTAATTTTTATTACATTCAAAAGCTTCCATATTTGAGAAAGGAATTTGCCTATACTATTTTTTTTTAATTTTCTAGTTTTCATTTATGCTGCACTTTTTGATAATTCTATTTTGAAAATTAATATAGCCAAAATAGGCAAGTGGCTATTTATATAAAGTCAGCAAGTAAATTGAATGTCTTTCACAATATTTTGAGTAAAAATTTCTGATTTTGGTGGGAACTTAGTGGAATAATTAAATCAGTCATTTGCCCCCTTTCCATTATTCATCTATGGCTAATGAATATTGATAGAATGAAGAATAATAATGTCCTTTGCTTTAACAGAGTTTTATAAAAATTAGTATTACTATTTTTACAAATATATCCAAATCTTCTAAACTACCCTCAGCTATAAAGTTGATTCCAACTCACAGTGACCCCCTAGAGTTTCTAAGGCTGTAAATCTTTAGGACAGTAGATTCCCTCATCTCCTTCCTATGGAGGAAGTGGTGGATTTGAACTGCTGACCTCTTGGTTAGCAGCCAAATGTCTTACGTATTACACCACCAGAGCACTTTAATCTTCTAAACTAGAAGATGGCAATTCTTTTCTAGGGAAGACTAAAGAGTAAAGTTTTCAAGTTTTGAGGACTTTGTGGTCTTTGTTGCAACTACTAAACTCTGATGTTGCAGCATGAAAGCAGCCATAGATGATCTGCAAATGAATGACTACAGCTGTGTTCCAATAAAACTTTATGTACAGGTACTGAAATTTGAATTTCATATGATATGAAATATTATATTATTATTTTCATTTTTTTTTAACATTTAACAATTTAACAATCATTCTTAACTCAAAAATCAGAATCGGTCCATAGATTGTAATTGCCTACCCCCAAACTAAACTATTTCATTATAAAAATGTAACTGCAACATAAAGAGTTACTGCATCTAATATCAAAATAGAGCAAGATGGCCATAATTTAAACTTCCAACTATGCATGCCTTACCCACAGGCAATATTTCATTGTTTTACAGGTATGCTAAAGGCTATCCCCCTTACTCTCCATATATAGGAAGTTCACCCACTTTTTGCCATCTCCTTCATGAAAAAGTGCCATTTTGCTGCTTAAGATTAGACAAGGTAAGCACTTGTTGTTGCTCTTGTTTTCTCCAAAAATAAAATATGATATCTTACAATTATATATATTTTTATAATTTTTACAGTCTTCTGACTAAAATATTTTGAAGGGTACTAGTTTTTTAGATGTAGATATAGCAACATAGAGTGATAAAGTTTATTTTCCTGATGGCACTGAAGATTACTAAAATGATTTACCTCTGTATTAAATTAATTAAAGGGATCAACCAGTCTTGTTTCAAAAGAGGAAAACAGAGGTGCTAGAATCTCAAATTTATGAATCCTCAATGTAAAAAGTTTCCCACAAGTCACTTTGGCCAAATGTATGCTATTTATTTTTCCAGTCATTTTTGCCTCAAACCTCAATGTGGAATTCTTTGATACGATCAGTGGAGCTAATCTGCATGTTAGCCACAAAGATTCATTTTTGACTACAGGAAACTAAAATCAATGTCTTGTCTCATACTTCCTTTCCCAAAGGTCATAGTAGTTCTGTGTTCCTGCTGAATATTCTAGGGAATCCATCCAAATGAAGAGAGTCTAAGAATGCAAGATTTTTTTTTTCCACTCTTTTTTGTAATATGGCTGTTGGACTTGACCTATACATAAGTTTTCCTTCTTAACAATAAGAAAGTAGATAAGAAGAGATCTTTCCACTTTCTCTAGAGTTTCATATGTGGCACTAATTCTACCCAGGAGTTTCTCCTTTTATTCTAAATTTTGAAGTTTAGTTAGGGTTCAAATCCCAGCTCTCCCAGTACAAGCTGTGTACCTTGAGCAAATTATTTCACCATTAAGTTTCATTTTCCTCCTCTGTAAGTGGGTATAATTTTAATATTACCTTCATAAGGCTTATGTAAGGGTTATATAAACTAATACATGCAAAACAAGACCTAACACCGCACTAGCAACTTAATATAGTAAGTGGGCACTTAATACATTTTGTTAATAACATTGCTATTATGGAATTTTTCATATGATGAACACTGAATCTTGCGTGTTCCTCTCACTCTTAAGAAAGAAGATTTATCAGAACATTGGAAGACTCCTGCCTTTATCTTCCTGCAGTTCTTTGCCATTACTCCTAAATATTCATCTGGGCCCTAGTGGTAGATGGTTACATATCTCAGGGCATTTTTTTTTTTCCAGTTCTTCTTTCACTTTAATGTTGTGCACCATTTGATGTTGCTGGCCTGCAGTATATTTTCCATAATTTTAGTAAATCTTAAACTTCCTAATCTGCATTGACCCTTTCCAAAACCTTGTGACTAATTTTATCTTTATCATTTTTTCTACATTTTCCTTTAAAAAGACCCCAAAATAACATAAACTTCAGATTTCATTTCACAGTTAAAGAAAATAAATATCTGGAGACCAAAGAGTGGAAATATTTTATTTCCAAGCAGGAAACCTGATCCAACTGAAAGGTTAGGTTCTCAGAGAGGATGATCTGAGTGAAAAAGTAGAGGATCTTTTAGAGCCAAAAGACTGCAAGCTGTCTCTTTGCCATATTGGAAAGTGCATTTCCTAAGTGTTACTAATTGGCAAGTGATGTCAAGGATTACCAGTTATTTAGGCAACACTAGGCCAGATGGCGGTAGTCTACTATGTTGGGATTTTGAAGACCACCTGTCTCTACTGCATCCATGAAGTATTTGAGTTGGAATTACATTGTCCAGTAATTCTCTACAAGTATCAGCTGTTGGGTGGCCTGGACAAAGTTTATCAACACTAAACTAACTTCCCTGGTTTCCATGAAACTGTTCTCTCTTTGTTTATTTTCTTACTGCTTGAGCAACTTTTAAGTTTCCTTAGGGAAGACATGTTCTTTTTCCACTGCTTGCCTCATAATATTGGAATTCTTAATGCTTCCAACATAAACCTATCATTCTTCTTCTGTGACCTCTTCCTGAGTGACCTTATCCCTTTATATGACTTCACATCCTGCTTATATTAATAATTCCCCAATCACAGTTCCAGTGAAGACTTATTACTCACTTTCTTTACCATTGTCTTTGTTACCATTCCTTATATGTTAGACCTTCCTTCTAGATTCATTTTCCTACTTCCTAGATTACAGCCTTTAGAAATTGTGTTAGATTCTGTTGGTAGTAAAAATTTTCTGCCTTGGTTCCTCTAAATTTTGAAGTTAGTTAGAGTTGAAATCCCAGCTCTCCCACAACAATAATGCCCTTATTTTGCCATCATTCTTGAGAGTTTTGCTGGGTCTTCAGTTCTACTTTCAGTTTTCTTTCTTCCTTCTTCTTCTTCTTCTTCTTCTTCTTCTTCTTCTTGTTAGGTGCCATCGAGTTGCTCCAACTCACAGTGACCCTATGTACAACAGAAAGAAACACTGTCCCATCCTGTGCCAGCCTTACAATATTTTCTATACCCAAGCCCATTGTTGCAGCCACTGTGTCAATCCATCTCCTTGAGGGCCTTCCCCTTTTTCATTGACTCTCCACTTTACCAAGCATGATGTCGTTCTCCAGGGAATGGTCCCTTCTGACAACATGGCTAAAGTAAGTGAGATGAAGGTTGGCCGTTCTTGCTTCCAAGGAGTATTCTGGCTGTACTTCTTCCAGGACAGATTTGTTGGTTCTTCTGGCAGTCCATGGTACTTTCAATATTCTTTGCCAACACCACATCTCAAAAGCATCAACTCTTCTTCAGTGTTTCTTATTCATTATCCAACTTTCACATGCATATGAGGCTATTGAAAGCACCATGGCATGGGTCAGGTGCACCTTAGTCTTCAAAGAGACATCTTTGCTCTTCAACATTGTAAAGAGGTCTTTTGCAGCAAATTTGCCAGGTACAATACCATGTCTGATGTCTTAATTGCTGCTTTCATTCCTATTGATTGTGGAACCACGTAATATGAAATCTTTGACAACTTCAATCTTTCTCCATTTATCTTGATGTTGCTTATTGTTCCAGTTTTGAGGATTTTCATTTCTTTATGTTGAGGTGCAGTCCATACTGCAGACTGTAGTCTTAAATTTTCATCAGTTAAGTGCTTCAAGTCATCTTCATTTTCAGCAAACAAGGTTGTGTTATCTGCATATCTCAGGTTGTTAATGAGTCTTCCTCCAATCCTGATGCCACACTCTTCTTCATATAGTCCAGCTTCTTGGGTTATTTGCTCAGCATATAGATTGAATAAGCATGATGAAAGAATACAACCCTGATGCACTCCCTTCCTGATTTTAAACCATGAAGTATTCCCTTGTTCTGTTCAAACGACAGCCTCCTGGTCTATGTACATGTTCCTCATGAGCACAATTAAGTGTTCTGGAGTTCCTATTCTTCTCAATATTATCCATAATTTGTTAGATCCACACAATCCAATGTTTTTGCAGTTTTCTTAGCACTTTGAAAATTTTCCTTACTGCTTTGTGTTCCACTTTGCTACTGAGAAGTCAATCATTTTAATCACTGCTTTTTTAAGGGAGTCTCTCTTTTCTTTGTGCTTCTAGAATCTTCTTATTGTATTAACTGTTCTGTACTTTCATTATAATATGTGTAAGATGTAGATTTATCTTTATTTGGATTTAGATTCTTTGGGCATCCTGATGCTGATAATTTCAGTTTTTATCAATTATAGAAAATATGCAGGAAATATTTGGTTACATAGGGCTTCTTTCTGATTCTCTTTTATGTCTTCTTTAGCTTTTCTGACAGATACAGACATCTTCCAAGTTTCTTAGTTTTTCTAACTTAGTTTCTTTCTTTCTTTTTTTTTTTTTTTCCTCTTCCATTCTAGGTAATTTCTTTAACTCTGTCCTGGAATTCATTAATTTCCCATTTCCCTCCATTGCAACAGATTTGCTATAAATTTGTTTTGTTTGTGTTTCTAATTTTATTGTCATATTTTTCAATTATAGAAGTTATATACATATTTTTTCATACTTACATCTCCTTATCTTTTAGCAGCCTTTTTCTATAGAAAGAGCAGCCTCTTTCTTTTTGTTCACACTAGAAATGGTCTATTTTATTTTTAAAGCATATTAAGCTTGCTCATTTTATATTGTGACTAATGAATGCAAAATATATAGTCTTTGTGGGTTTAACCCTCTTGTTTGTTTTTGCTTGTACTGAGTTATGGTGCCATGTTCTCACCAGGGTTTTATAGTTTTTTTTTTTTTTATTTTTTCCTTGAGAGAAAAGGGCAAAGAATATTCTACATTTGATTATTCCACAGAAAGCCAACTAATCTCAGTCTGAATAATTAAAAGGAAATTCAAATAGAGACATATCAGGGTGAATGAACAGAACACCAAAGCAGTTCTCCATGCAGATAATTTAGTATAAAATAATTTAGGTTTGGTTTAGTAATGCTAAATCCAATAAAATGGAAGATTCTAGACCCCCAGGAAACAATAAAATTACCTCCAGGGAAACAATGAGCTTTGGTAATATATTGTTACTGCATTTGTTGTGTTATTGTTAAAATATTACTTTTATGTTTCTGTCATTGTCTTGCCAGATGAGTTATGCATTTAGACAATTGGATTTGTCAATTGTGTTTTTCCTTTTAGTTTGTTTTCTTCAATCTATTACTTTAGGTATTTAGTACTGGAAAACTCTCTTAAGTTGTTTAATTATTTCACTTACTGTATTTCTTGAAAAGAAAGTCAGATAGATCATTTTAAATATACAGATACACCAGAATCATCTAGCACCAAGCTTTAGTTTGTAAGAGACCATAAGCCTGCTTTACTGACCTTACTGACCTTGTTCATCCCCAACATCAAGCTTACCCATTGCTGTAGAGTTAATTCCGACTCATGGTGACCTTATACAACAGAGTAGAACTGCCCTCACAGGGCTTCCTACACTTGTAATCTTTACTGAAGGAGACATTCTCCCATGGAATGGCTGGTGGGTTCAAATCACTGACCTTTCATTTAGCAGCTGAAATGCTTAAAGGGCTTGTAACATTAAGCTGCATAGCTGCAATTCATTCTCATTGTGCATGAACATGTGTATTTCTTACTATATGTTTGAGAACCAGACACAAAAAAATGTAACTGTTTTCAAATTTGCTAGAAAATATAAGACTTACTTGCTTAGATTAATTTTAAATTTCCATTTATTTTACACTTTTTCCACCATATTTTATTGGAGTGTAAAAATGACATCTCTTTGTATAATTTTTCTTCTCTAGAGTTGCCAGCATAACTACTATGAGGATGCAAAAGCCTATGGATTCAAAAATAAACTAATTATAGTTGCAGCTGAAACAGCTGGAAATGGATTGTATAATTTCATTGTTCCTCTCAGGGCATATTATAGACCAAAGAAAGAACTTAATCCCATAGTGCTGCTATTGGATAACCCGTAAGTATATTTAAAAATGCACAAACAAAAAAGAGAGCTTTGAATATTCTGTTATGCACATCAAATAGTTGATTTTAATTTATATGGGTTATTTTAAATCAGATACATTATGGCTTATGAGTGGTTGGAAGGTATACTATAATCTGTGCTATGGTAAAAAAAAAATAAATGTAGTTATTTATTACAAAAATGCTACTTAAAACATCACTGAGGTACTCTGAACATTTTATTTAAAACTATTTTGCAAGTGGCCATTTAGTAACAATAGAAGTAGAAAGCATGCCACTGAAATAATTACAGTAATTTTCCTTTAATTACTCAACCAGCCTGGAAAATATGATTTTAAAAAGTCTGCAAAAACTGGACAATATAGCTCTTTCTATAGAATCATTAATTAACATAAACATATTAATGATCTGTTTCTATATGTTATACTTTGAAACATTATCATAAATTTTTATGATTTTCTCACTGTTAAAACTTGCATCATATAACATAGCATAACATGAATAATGCTTTACCATGTTCATTTATTTTGAAAATGTTGGACTGATTTATTTTTGTGAAATAAGACTGCTTCACATTGTAGAATTCTTATGAAAATATAAATGTAGATCACTCAATATAGTACTCAAAGCCATTGCATTGTAAAATTAAGATATTCCTCTTCTTGACTGGAAATTAGTAGCAGATGATTTTTATTTAGATCAGTACCATATTTTAGGACATTCCAGTTTTCCTCTTCAATTTCACAGCGACACAGTTTCAAATTCAAGTAAATCTGTCCAAATTCTGTTACTCTGTCTCTTTCAAAATTATCAAAAGAAGTTTCTCAAAATAGTGATATGTCCCCAATATATTATAACTTCATGCCACTATTTATTTCGAATATACCAATATCAAGATTATCACTAATGCAGTTATTAACATCACGATAACAATGAAAATCAACTCTCAAAATTTATCAAACCTATATAGTTTTCATTTGACAATTCACTGAGTTTTAGATACAATTTTGGCATCTAAGGAAATATAAAGAGTTTTGGTAGCCTAGTGCCTAAAGCATTTGCCTGCTAACCAAAAGCCTGGCAGTTCAAACCCACCAGCCACTCCTCAGAAGGAAGACTGAGCAATCTAATATACAGTAATACCTCCAACATCTTATAAGTTCCCTTATCCTGAAACTGCTCTGTTAAGCCGCTTCAAAATACATGATGACCTGGCATACCACAGACTCTCAATTAACAATATGAATTCAGTTGTGTCAGGTTTTGCCTCTGCCTCTTCTTGCTGTATTGTGCTCACTGCCTTGGTCACAGAATTCAAGATAGGGACATTTATAAATTGATTGGCTCAGAGCATCCTCATTTTGTAAGTCTTGGGTGAGACTTACAATTAAAATAAAATCTGAAAACCTTCAGTTATTGGCAAACTAATCAGTACCTGTATATAAATGTACATGTAGCTTTTATCATGTTGTTGTTGTTGTTGTTATTTGCCGTTGAGTCGACCCCGACTCATAGCGACCCCTCCTTGGGTTTCCGAGGCAGTATTACTACAGAAGTAGGATTGCCCAACCTTCCTTCCAAGGAGTGGCTGGTGGGTTTGAACCGCCAGCCTTCTGGTTAGCAGTCAAGTGCCTTAGCCACTATGCTACCAGAGCTCCCAGTTTTTATCATAGGATATTTTATTTGAATAGACTATCAAAATCATTTATAAAGTTAATATTCTTTACTTCTACCCTCTCTCTATTCATCATAGTAGTAATGATTGAGAATTTACTATGTCTCTCATTACACCGTTAGTGCCATTGTGATGGTTCTTACTCATAGCCATACATAGGACAGAGTAGAACTGCCCCATAGCATTTCCTAGTCTGTGATCTTTACTAAAGCAGACTGCCACGTCTTTCTCCCACAGAGCTGTTGGGGGCGGGGTGGTTCAAACTGCCGGGTTTTGGTTTGCAGCTGAGTGCTCTACAGAGTGCTACCAGAGTTCCTTGTGTCATCACACTACACAATTTATTAATATTTTTCCCCCTTTCCCCCATAAGAACTATATCTACATCATGTAGTAATGATTAAGCTTCAGAATGACGGACCAAACAGCTCAAGATCTCAAAATTTTTAAGTCATAAAGATAGGATTCAAATAAACCAAAATCCATGTGACTTGGTTACACCACCCTCTTATTTTACAGATGAGGAAACGGAGACTCAAAGCAGCTCACTGACCTTTCCAATCATCTCTAGAGTAAAACCTGCTATGTTATTCCTAGTTTAGTTTTCTTCCAAATATATATATGACCTTACCTCACTTATGATATTTGGAAAAAATATATAGTTTGCCAATTATTTTTAGAAATAAGAATGTATTTTAACTCTTGATTATTTTTGTGTTTAATCCCCCTTTGCTTGTATGATGACTTGTATTTGGAGTCCCGTGAGTCACATGATACTGTTGTTAGATGATGTTTGCAGGGTTTGACTTGATTTCAAAGGATTAGGGAGAAAGTGTTCACTGTAAAATTTCATAGCTTCCTGTATATTTCTCAAAAGTGAT